TACATCACTATTCCGTGTAAAGTCCTCCGATTCGGTTCATCGTGTTTCAATAAATTATTCAAATATTATTAGTATAATAGTTGATTTATAGAAATAAATTTGAAGGATTAATTCACCACTATTATACCTACATAGATAGAAATAAATAAATTGGTAATTTAATCTTACTCGCATTTAATATACATAATATATTGTTGTCTGTCGGCATCAGTTTAATTGACTGGAAACTATTTTAATCCAAGGGGAATCATTTTTGACTGTATTATATTATATTTATATCCAATAGTTTTTTTGCAAGGATGAAACGGTGATACAAACGTGAATTTTTATATTCGACTGGTTATTTTTTTTATGTTTTGTAAATTAATTTTGTCTTCTTTTAATATATGATAGTCTAATAATTATGAAACAATCAAGTTTTGGATCAATACGAGCAACGGTTGTGTTGTAAATATTCATATTTCTGGTGTGCGGTGCAGAACCGGTACCTGCAAATGTCCCAATGTATTACTATGGTAGGTATACTACCTGATATTTGTCCGTCGTAATGCATTTTACTGGAATAATAAAATATTAACGATACTGTGATGAGGACACGTTTTTCAACACAATAATCCTAAAAAAAATCTAGAACAATATTATGCATACCATAAAACTAAAAAATATTCTGTATATTTTTAAAGCTACTAAAAATTACAAGAGTTTTTTTGGATTCAATGCTGTTTACATAATGTCTTAATAAACTCCAATATCGTTTGGATTTGAACATTTCTGTTATGTAATAGTTATACATTTATTATAATGATTATTATTGTTCTATTTTTTTATCATATTTATTTGTTTGATATTTATAAAAATCAGAGGTTTTTCTCAAATACATTTTAAGTCAATTTTTTTTTTAAAATAAGTTTAAATAATGAAAACGTTATTGTTTCACTACTCCAAATCAACAAATTCTCATAATACGGTAAACTAGTCTTTACACTGGTTTAGTATTATTTAATTAAAATCTCTAAACTTACATAACTTTTGCACAAACAAAACAGATATTTATTCGTTTTAAATTAGCAGCTAAATTTAAATATTTTATTTCTCCAGGCACGACTAACTCAGGTAGTGTAAAAATAGTATTTGATATTTTCTATGTAGTCTTTGTTCGTTTACCCGCAGGTTTTATTGAATTCAACGGCGAAAAATAAAAATATATTTACACATAAATATAGGCCAGTAGGTATACAACTAATGACGGTGTCGTGTCAAAATATAACTCATAGGTACCTATTATACGCATTGTACCTGTTGATTGTATAATCTCCATGAACCGATATTTGATCGATACCGACATACGCCCTAAGTAAAGAATGCAACTTAATACGAATTATTTATATGATATATTATACATAAAGATTGTAAAATAGATATAATTTTTATAGTCTATGGATATAAATCACTAATTAAAAAAAAAAACATTATTTTAGTATATTGATTTTTTTACATTACGGATAACCGCGTCATTTTAATGTTCAACTGTACAAAAACTATATAAATTACATCGATTATAAGTATGTAACGGAAATCGATTTTATGGAGTCTGCAGCTATAGGTTAATGGTTGTATGAGGACTAGGGTTTTTCAAAATGAAATATAAACGTATATCATCTAAACATTTTTAATATCTTTCTTTTAATTTTTGATTATTACCTACTTTGTTACTTTTTTTTTTTTTAATATTACTAAAATATTTCATATGTACACGTTGAGGTACTTAGAAATCAATATATTCATCTTTGTTCAAAAATCTTAACCCAATCTGTTACGGTCGTGAGGTCCAAATAAAAACTTTACACCCGCTACCACGTGTGCCTACTTTATAAGAATTTACGACACTCAAACTTATTTTCCGACAATGTGAGTTATAATAGAGAATGAGTTTTTCTATATACGTTTAAATCTTTAATATCTATAATATCAGATATCTGTTTAAAAATATGTGATAGTGAATATCATTATTTGTAATAAATATTAGTTCTGATTATTATGTCAATCCGTGCGTTATAGTCATAAATTATTGTTGAACCTTTGTATGATAGCTGTCAGCAGTGGCGTATCCATGGGGGAGAGGTTGGGGGTCAGAACCCCCCCATGATCCTGAGATGGTAAATTAACTTTTACATGAAACACGGTTTATTCTTTAACATTTTTATATTATATAATTTTGATTTGGAAATCATATTAATAGTTTGTATAAACACTATAAACGTAATATAAACACGCTGCACACACACACACACACACACACAAAAGTCATAATATTATGATCATATTTAAATACTTTACTACTACTTTCATAATTTTTGCTCGGAAACATATTATTTAGGTTTTCTACAACGGTTAATTCTATATACATATATAAATATAAATCGGTCGTCTGGTCCCGATAACTGACATAAAAGAGATATCATTATCTGTATTCAAAGTTTATTTTGGATATACCTATAACATTCGCGACTCGCTGATCATTTAACACAAGCACCTTATTGTATAAAACTAATAGTCGTTGCCCGTTGGTGTCTCACTGTTTTACTTAATACTCGTTTATTCGTTTATATTTGACATTTATATTCCAATATATTTGTTTTATTTTAATTTTACATCATTATAAGACGTCTAAACATTCCATTATGGTAAGATATTTTTAAATTTAAATTTTTAGTATACCTAAGTGATTGGACAGAAAATATTCTAATATCTAATATTTATGTTCCTATATTAGTTCCTAAATTGTTATTATTATTATTATTATAGGTAAATTCTCTAACAAATAAGCATACTAGAAAAATTATTTTTCTTTACCTGAATCAAAAAAACTAATGTTAACCATACTTAAAAATACCGAGATCAATACTAATAGTAGTCAAAATGATAGTGATAAGATTAAATATACATAAATTTGCTGAAACCCCCTCCCCCCCATAAAAAGTTCCTGACTACGCCACTGGCCGTCAGAAATAATATGACAAAATTATTTTAAAACTTGTAACCATGCGTATAGGTATGTTCCATAAAATAATTTTGTACATTACGTCAATACATTAATTATCTCGTCTAGTACAAATAATATGCCTTACGAAAACCAAACATAAAATACCGAGGTTAATTGGAGGTGATGGACATTTTGACTTTTACATTTTTAAGCTTTAGAATAATTAATAATAATGTATTGGTAGGTAAAACGAAACGCGTTTCGTTACCGATTTTCATCATCCATCGTTTTTTGTTGTTTGGACATAACATATTAATATTGATCACTGATTGGTCTGAACTTAGTGTTATTATTAAGTGAATGTCAGCGCATCAATAATTTGTCTATTTAACTATATAATAGTTCGACACGGTGGATGTAGCATATTCGACTTACCAACAGCAATGTTGAATTTATATAGCTTATAATTAGGTACCTAGTTGGTACAGATAGTATAGCCATGGATGTGTAACGAACTCTGACTAGTATTCTGTAACATCTTTAGTTTGTTGTACTAATGGCCATTGTATAAATACATTTCAAAAAATTGAAAATATAGCTGGTCTTTTGAATACGTGATTCTGTGTTATTTTATAATAATATTATAATAATTAATTAATTATTAATAATAATTTTATATTACATATTTCGATTATAAGAATGCGAAAAATTGATGTTTTTAGTATATTTTGTGATTAATATTTATAATTTAATATTATTACTTCTTATTTAATTTTAGACCTGCTGATTAAAGTATAAGACTTGGTTATTTTTGTTAAACATAAAATTTATTTTAAATTACTTTTGTTTTATTTTATTTTTCAATTATATTGTATTAAGTTACATTTTTAAAAATGTATACTTTGTTTTGTAATTGGTAAGTTAATCAATTATTTTCTTATATTTATAGTTGATGAATAAACAATATAACTTTTCAAGATAGGTATATGAATAAATTACATTTATAAATTTAATAAATAATTATGTTGTACGTAAATACATAGCGTTGCTCACAGGCAACAAACTAAAAAATTGGTTTTTTAGAGGCTTAAAATACCAATTTTTTTTTTAGTAATTTCTCCTTCATTAGGACTAATATAACAACCCAAAAAAAATTAAATAATGAAAAATAAAAAAATCATGCATTGTAGGGTTAAGAAAAAAATCCAACCACTGATGTATTTCAATAAACAAATATTTTTTTTTTAACTATATTTTTATGTTTATCTTATAAAAATTTAAATGCATATTTTTGCATATTTTGGTAAATAAAATGCATATATTACAATTTTTTATTGCATACAAATCCTAGCCCTGGTAATTATTATCCTGCAAATTGTTGATGTTAGAACGTCATACAAACTAAGCTTAGTTAGAGTGTACAAACAATAATATTCAAAAATATTTCTAACCGTATATAGGCAATATATTTAAGATTAATATTGTCACACATGCTTCCTAAATTTATGATGCTATAAATATAAATTAATAAAAAAAAGTTTAAACATTTAATTCTCTTAAATCAATGAAGACAATATTTTAGTGAAACTTAGTGTTTTTTTATTAAATTGCCTTGTTTCTTTCATATTTTCTAGAATAGGTATCTTCAAATAACCATGTTTGTTCCTCTAGATTATATTATAAAATATAGTGTAATTAGTATGTTATATATATCTCTCTCTAAATCTAAGATAATTGTTTGGTTTGTCTTAAATTAATTTATAATTTCTGCAAATATAAGTTGAATTATATAGTCTATATCTACTTAACTCTTTTTATTATCAAAAGTAATGGTCTTTTCAATTATTCTTTTATATCTTTTAACCATAGTGATTAAATGCATAGATTTTTGAACGATAAAATAACATTGCAGTTCCCATACCTAATATTTTCATTAGTTTGTATGTTTACTAAGAAGTATATAATTAATAAATTATAATTTATAGTATCACTAAATCCGTTTAACTGTTTTGTTTAGGATTGTGACGCTATGTTGCGTGGATTGCAATTCACATTGGACGCACAACAAGCAGAAAAGCTGATGCAGAAGATCAAGGTGGGAAAGAAGCACAGGTGTTGGTGTCGTTTAGTCACGACGTTTATAGGTCTGATCATGTTTCTCGTATCTGTGATCACCGTCACCCTTGTTATCACCAAGGGGAAAAGAATGTTCGGCTCTATTTGATAAATTGCATTCAAACTCTCAATATAAAAATTTTAATATGTATATTATACACTTATCAAGTACAATAATGTATTTTATTTTTATTATTATTATTAATGAACTCACATATTTATATATTACTCATAGATTATAGGTATATTAAATTATTATACGAAAATTGTGACATTTTACTTATACGCCCTATGAAATTTGTGGTTTTAGTTATAAAAAATATTTAATGATATTTACACAATCATCACATATCCTTTGTTATAAATGAATCCAAATGATTTCCTATAGTATTTATAATATATATAAATTAATTTATAAATGCCTATAGATTATATCAGACATCAGTAAAATTAATGATCATTAGTATACAGATAAGTACATTTCTCAAAGTAATATATTTATTGTTGACCAAACATTTTATTTTAAAATATTAGCTTGTAAGAAAAATTTCTAATTTTGTAAATTTTCATCTAAATGGATATTATAGTGTTTATGTGATATGATTTAAATATTTATCATTATTATAGCCATATGATGTTATACTGTAAAATAATTATGCTCAACAAATATTATTTGTAATTTTTGGATGTGACTATAGTGTTAAATTATAATAATCTGATAACATAAGTATATTTAATTCATTTTTACCTTATATACTTATGAAATTGCTTATATAAGAACTTTGATTGTAAATGTAATGTAATGATAATTTATAATTTAATATAATGGAGACATAAAATATATAATAATGCCTAGAATTTAATTTATTTTTATTTTAAACAAAACACAATATAACAATCATAATTGAACTATAAAACAATATATAGTTAATACCGATTATAATTTTAGAACAGTGTACAATTTAGAAAACTAATACATTAATTATTATATCATTTTCACATAGTTACTTACTTATTTCAATACACAATATAATCAATTAAACTATCTTGTTCGCTAGTAGGTATATCATCACATATTTGTTGGCTAAATGCTAATCCAATAATTTTTAAATTATTATAAGGATATTTATTCCTATACTCAGCAATAGATCGATCATAATAACCTTTTCCGCGTCCTAACCGTTTTCCATTGATAGTAAATCCCAAGCCTGGAACTATCATCAAATCTAAACCACCTGTATAATATTTTAAACCCAAATTCATTATTATTAATATTTGAAAATATGATAACATTTATAGAATACCTGTAGACAATGCATCTTCACGAACATCATTGTCTGCTGGTTGTAATATATTCCATTTGGTTTTCGGCAAGCTTTTCAGATCATCCATTGACTCCAAACTCACCATAGACATATCATATTGATTATATCTTAAAACAAAGTATTTATATATAAACAATGTAATTAAGTTTGAAAAACATAATAACACACTTTGGAATAAAACATTTTTTTCCTGTGTCAAAAATGTTTTTAATAATATTTATTGTTTGTACTTCGGAATCCATACTGATATAAACAGACACTCTTTTGCTTCTAATGTATGCTGGGTGAATCAATAACTAAACATATATTGTTATTTTTTTAAATAGATTAGCATTGATTATAAATACATAGTATTATTATTATTATAGAATATACGGGCATTAGCCCTTTTACAAGTAATATAGTAAATTTAGTACAACAAATTTTTACAACAATACATATAGATAATCTTAAGGATAATTATATAAATCTAATATTCAAAGATAGACTCTAAAAAAGAAGGATCCGCGTTCGCATGGGACATTAACTGCCTAATAGGCTCGTTGCCCAAATAATTGGTGGTAGAGTGGGGAATAAAGAAAGGAGCAGTTGCCCTAGTTACAAGCTGAGGGACCTTAAGTTAACAGGGATACAAGAACTGAAGAATTCACTTTATTGCACAATAGCCCTTTAAGGAAGGATAAACCCGCGGACCGTCTACGTTCAGCCAGAGATGACAAATTAAGCACATCAGCAACTGGGCCATAGTCATGAGGCGTGCATGGAATATTTAACAAATATCTAGAAAATCTAAGGAACCTACCTAGTACCCTTTCAAGTTCACTAGAGTGACCAGCAGTAACGGGATCCCAAACAATCGCATCATAATCAAGGATAGAGCGGACTAGAGCACAATATACTTGATTGATAATCCCAGTCGAAAATCTCTGGATAATCTCACAATAAACCCAAGTGTTTTTAAAGCTTTACAACAAACATAATTAATATGGGGGCCAGGATCTAGTTTACTATTAAATTTAAACCCAAGGTCCATATTAGTATTATAGTATTTATAATCAATGATATTAGTAAGTAAATAATTTATAATTGTATTACATCATTAGAAATTTAAAATATCTACAACTACATAAAACATTTATAAATTCAATGAATTAAAGCTTTATAATTATTTAAATAAATGATTAATTAGAATCTTATATCTAAAGCATAATATAATTAATAACTAAAAAGACTAAATTATAATGAACTAAGTTTTAACATTTATACTCAAATAAATACATAAATGATTAATTCTATATTGTGCATATAAAGTATGTATTAATATGATGGTTCTAGTAATTTTTCATCAATTTTAAATGTTACTGAATGATTAGAACACTTGATTTTATAAATTTATAATTAATTAAAGGTTATTTTCGAATATTTAAAAATCTAAACCTGAAAAATTGACTTAGAAAAATAAAATAATGTTACAATTAAGGAAACATTTTAAATTATATATTTATGTGAACATGATTCTTTAGATATGTGAATTAGGGTGGACATATTTACAACAGAATATTATTTTTTAAATCTATAGTTGGATACAAGTAAAAATCAACACACTAGTTTTAAATTCTATTATTAATAATTTTATACTATTCTATAAAATTAAATATCCTAAATATTATACAATAAGAATGATTTACTAATATTTATTTACTAATAATGGCTGAATTTATGTCAACTATATAAATTTTAATTTAATACATTATAATTTAAATATTTATTTATTTATTATTTCAGTCGAATAACTTACTTTATTGGTTATTAATTTTGATTGCTCAGCAATTTCATAAACAGTCATTTTCGAAATTTTTTTCTTTAACTCTTGTCGTAATTTAGATTTGGAAATTTTTACAAGTTCCATAATGTCCAATGTTATAAGACTAATAGAAACTTCTAGTTATGAAACCAATACTGAAGAGTCAATTAATTGAAAGTGTAAAAATATGCTAAAATAAAAAGTTACTTTAATAATAATTTGTAATAGAATTTAAAATTAAAACTTGGTATGGAAAATTAAAACTTTTATTGATTAATATATTTTAAAAGTACATTAAAATTAAAAGGGTTATGAAATTAAATGTAAAAAGTAAAAATGTTAATAAAAATTTAAAGGTAATTTAAAACCAATGATACGTACAAATTAGACACTATTCTCACAATAAAATATTGCTTACACAATTATAGATGATAAAATATTAACCTAAACTGATTTAAACATATGCGTCTAGTAAAAGTAATTACTGATTATCTATAATTTGTCAACAATTAACAATTTAAATAATACATTCCGTGTATAGTATTATCCTACTAGCATTGAATTAAATATCCGTTAGTTAATGCTAATCTACTTACTTTGTGTTCTATATAGACAGAATCATATAAAAAAATAATAATAACAATCAGTGAATTGATTGATCATTGTTTTTTGAACATATTTTAATATTGTGATGCAACAGGTAATTTTGAATAACAATTACTGATAATAATATCATTATACCACAGACTTATATACTAGAATATAGTATAGAAGCACAAAAATATATTTTTATTTTTCTTCTTCTCCTTCGTATTTCTCCCAACTATTTGGGGTCGGCACAAAAATATATTTTTATTTATCTTATATTATATTTTTTATTCTGTAATAGAAGCCTGTGCAATATAATGATAATATTATGTGATAACATAGTCTATAACATCACATAGAGTATATCACGGTCTTAGAAGATATATTCTAAAACCGTGGAGTATATGACTCTATGAAACGTACTTATTTATACCTTATATATGCTCTATGATCACGGATATTGATATAGTATCTATATCTATGTCTATGATACAGATAGGGACGTTTCGATATTGCAGATACCAATAATGTATCGATACTTTTCTTTTGATACAAGTATTTTTTGTATCGATACCATGGTTTCGATAATTTACGCATATCGATAAAAAATACTGGTATCAAATGAATAGTATCGAATCATTTACTAACCGCCATATTGGTTCAAAAATCAAAAGTACTCGAATAGTATCGTAAAATAATTATTTTCTAGTAAAATGGTTTGCACGCGTGGTGGAGGATTTGTTCACATAAATCAGTCATCACACTTTAATCTATACTCTACACCAGGGATGGCCAACCCGCGGCCCACCTTGAAAAGCTTGCGACCCGTGAGATTTATCAAACATTTACGAAAAATATTTATTTTTTGTCCCAATAAAATATTCTGAGATGCCCGGACAAAGCGGAATCCATATTATTAACAACGAATCGCAACAAACTGTTTGATTCATCAGTAAAACCATTGTTCCCAAATATTGTCGATGAACCATGTTTTGCAAGTAATCATAAAAACAGCGAATTACATTCAATCACATACACTGATGCACCGAAAATTTAAAGAGTTCTTGGAAGAATTGGATTCAGAATCCGGTAATAAAAACAACAATAATTCATTATTATTAATCCTTTATTATTAAAATACACGATTGATAATTGATTAATAATAAAACCATGAAAACTAGAGATTTATCTATAGATATATCTAGTCTTCATGAATAAAACAATCAGCTTATTGATAATAAATTATGTCCATATTAGTAATATGCCCAAAATTTGAATTAGACCGATAAGAACACGATATTAGAAAGACGTGCTGTGGCGTCCTAGGTAACTTAATACGCAGAAGGGTCGCGGAAAGAATAAAAAAGAAAAGAAAACCTCTTCAAATTAAGACATTGGCGACACAGAGCATAACAACTTGCTTGGATATATTAACGTGAAACATCAGGATTTTCAAAAAAATTTGAACGAGAAATAGTGCATCCATGTTATGAATAACAAATAAATCGCTATATTGTCCTTTTATTCTCGCACACGCTAAAGAAAAATAGTTAGAAATATTTAAAAATAAATAGAGACGACATTCAAATAAGAGTGAATAGAAACTATTAAACATACAACAAATCTTACTATTAAGTCGGTTAATGTTTTTTTTATAATTAAAATCAATTGATATACCTAAATAAAAACTTCTACGTTTAAATTATATTCCGTATAAATAATAATAAACAACTATGAGGCAGATAATCTATGTCCAATGTTACTTATCTTATTTTATTTACATTTGTTAAATATTGTCATTCTTATAAATTATATTTTTTATAATTCCCGCCTATTGTGTATATTATTACTAATAAAATAAAATAATAAATTATTATTTATTTTTTTTTTAACTATTTAAGTGTAGTTAATTATTGTAATATTGTATTTGTTCTTTTTATTAGAGTAAAATGCCGAAATCTATAGATAGGGCCCTTTCTTTTTTTTTTTCATTTTAAGGTTATAAATATGATAATTTTGTAACTTACTAAAATAATTAAAACATTTTAAATAAATTTAATCAATTTTATATAATTTCTCTCATTTAACAATCAATTAAGATATTGGTTTTTTATAACATTTTCTATTAAAAAAAAATTTCTACGTCGAGAGAATTTCCAGGCGCATTTTCTATATAGTAAACATTTTTAAAAAGAAGCTGACAACTTGATCTATAGTTAATAATTGTTCTAAAAATTTAAAAATTGCGTAATTTTAAGTGACACTCTTTAGAATTTGAAAAAACTGTTAAAAATGTAATTTTTCTCTTATATACAATAAGAAAAAAATTAAATTAAAAAAAAAAAAATTTGTGAACTTTTATAGCCACTAGTACTTACATTTCATATTAAAATGTTGTAAAAAAAAAAAATACGTATACTACATCAAAATGTTTTTTTTAAGAAGTATACACTCTAAGAGAAAAGGGGAAGAGGAAGACCAAAAAAAGGGATGGTTGAATACGATTGAGAATGATATGAAGCTTGTTGATGTGTGCGTAGGAGATGTAGAAATTCGAGACTAGTGGAGGTTTAGGGCAAGTGTGGCCAACCTCAAATAGTTGGAAGAAAGATGAAGGAAGAAGAAGATACGCTACAAAACGATTAGGTATGTATCGAAATAGTGAAAATATGTACTAAAAAACAATACAGTTCAGTTAAATTTGTACTAAGATGGTTGTAACCAAGGTTATGTAAGTTAATGCTATTTTTTAACTTAGTTGTGTTAATTGAGTGAATGTTCAATTAAGTTAATTTACATGAGAATTACATCAGTTAAGTTAAAATTTTAGTTAAAAAATATCGTTAACTTAATTTAACTTCAATTAATACGTAAGTTAAGTTAATTATAAAAAATAAAAATTACATTAAGCGCTGAAATAAGTGATATATATATATATATATATATTAACAATTTATAATGGACCTTAATTAACATTAATGATAATGAAAAAGCAGAAAAATCTTATTTAAGAAATATTTTTAATGTGCGAACAAAGAAAAATAAAAAAAATAAATAAAAATATTTTATTAAACTTTACTTAGAATTAAAAAATATACATTTCTTTATAGGGATTGTTTATAAACACTCAAATATCAAATTTATGGTAATTAATGTATGGTTTGTTTTTTATTAATTTTTCATACAAATCACATGTAATAAATATAATTTAAAAAAAGTATTATTTTTAATGTTGAATAACAGTATGAAAACTAAAAATAATTACTGCAGCTGAAAGTGTAACTATAAATTTATACAGACAATAAATGTACATAGTAGATACAAAACATAAAAATAAATATATAATATTATTTAACTTTTATAATCAAAACAAATAAAACAATACAATGGACAAGTCAATGAGTCGGACAAAAAGTTTTTAATGGAACTTACATAAATGTATAGACATTTTTTTTGTCTTTTGTTAATCATAGTCTATGTCTTCTATGCACGAAAAAAGTCCGATAGTGTATAACATTTTTTTCTTTTTTCTATAGTCTTTATGGTATACTTTATATTTATTACCAGGACTTATAAATTATAGCATTTACATTTTTTTTTTTTTTTTTTTTTTGAGAGGTCCTAGAAATACTTAAGTAAGTTATACATTTGTTTCAGATAACTTAGAAGTTAAATGCGAAATTTTATGTTGCATATTTTTGCGTATTTCAAAGTGCTATTTTGCTATTTTGCAGACTTATTCTTGCATATTTAGAAATTTGTTATTTGCTATTTTACTTTTTTAAGTCTTCTTTAGTTCCGTAGCATTAAAAAAATTTTCTTTTAATGATAAAAAGTAATTATAGTAGTATTAATTTTTATATATGTAATTAATTCATGTTAAATAACTAATTAATTTCTTCTTCTTTAGGTTTAAATTATATATTTATTTGTATCATATAGCGACGCGATCGGAATTTTAATAATAAAAGTTTACATTTTTTTTATACATGATATGTTTTTTTATTAAGTGAAGATTGTTTTTTTTAATAATAAATGAAAATTGAGTTTTTTACATGATATATTTTTTCGTTGTCTATTTTTGTATTTTTAATGCATATTTAAACGCTTATATGAATATTTTTAAGAGAATATTATAGCGCTTATAACTACTTTTTTTTAGAGCTATAAGTTATGAGTTCTGCTTATTACGAATAAGTATTTTGAAAATAAAAAAAAACAACGATACAAAAAATAAAAATGTATCACCAAAATTATATGTCTATAGCAAACTAAATATTATCAAGTACTTAATTTGACATTGGTTCTAAAGACAAAACTATAGAAGTTGATAAACAAGTCGACAATTTTGTAGTTTCGTATATAGTGAATTTTCAATTTATTGTACAATTGGTATTCCTATTAATCGACAAACCGATCGTTTCGTGTATGGGAGTTTTCAGAAAATAGTATGTTTAATCGAAAATCATCAGTCATTTTTATTTTCTCAAAAATGCATTCGGTGCTACTTGTATATATTGGTTTATCGGGCATAAGATTGACTTTAGAATATACTAGAGTAGTACTAGTATATTTTAGAATAAATATTGAAAGCATAGGTACAACTAATATAAAAACTCTGAGAGGTGCAGCACGGTTTCTACTTAAATTTAACAGTACCTAAACTAAGAAACAAAAATTTTATAAAAAAAAAAAAATTATAAGAAAAAATAAAAATTTGGTTGAATTAATTTTATTAAAAATATTGTAAAGTTAACAACAGTTGAAGGGAAATAGTATTTAATAATGCAAGAGTGGGGATTTAAGCCCACTCTAGACCCCCCAATTGAGTTTATGCCATTGTGACTGGGAGGGTTTCTATAGCACACGTCTCACGGCGTATGATAGTATTATTAGTAAGCAGCTGCCCAAACCAGATGTATTGTACCAAATTTTCTCGTTGCAAAATATATGTTTATACATTTCACCTTCTTTTCATATGTACGAGTATACTTCTAACTCTATTTCGAATTGTGACACCCGTTCAACATTTATTTTTTAAAAAACCAAATTTTTTAGACCAAGAAATTAAAAATTACATCCTTAGAACAATTTATGTTAATTTTCAAATTCATAGGGATCGGTAAAAATGTATAATATTTTTAGAACCTTCTTTAATATTACATAAGTTGTGAAGATTGAAAATACCTGCATAAAAATACATTGTTATTTGCTATTTAAGTCCAATTAATTATTGATTTAATCATGATCTTAAAAATGTAACGAATATTATCTAAACGAATTGAATATTATAAATAATAACTCATGGTATAAACTTCACAGTGGGCTTCGGTTAGTCTTGCTAGCGATATATTTGAATATTATTAAATTATTTTTATATTTTTTAATTACGTTAAAATTCAGTAAAACTACGAAGGAAATAGTCAGTATATGAGAAAAACTCGTTATTATGCTTGGACAAATATGTATGTATATGTAATTTTATGACAAAGTGGTTCTTTAAAATAATTTCATTATGCATACTTAATTTTTTTTAACACTTTAAAAGGGATTTTTTAGGATTTTTTAATTTTAGAGGAGTGTTTAAAATTCTTTCTAAATGTTATCACATAAGTAAGTACTAATTATTATAGACAAATTTTAAAACGTTTATAAACGCATATATGCTAAATAAGAATATAATATTTTTTTTTCCATAACTGCACTCATAATATATTCGAAGATGTATGTATCTGCTATAGTCATTATTTGTTCCTAAAATTTATGCCGTTTATGGGAATGTGTTAAAAAGAATAATCATACATTTACCTGAAAGATGCGTAAAAATACAGCACCTAATAAAGATGTAGGTATACCTGCTATCGACATGAAATATTTTTTTCAGTTTTAATGATAAAAAAACGTCAGTAATTTACATTGCGATATCAGAATTTAACGTTTTTGAATGTACTAATTACGGACTTGGACGGTGGACCTATTCATAACTACGTTTCCGTACAAGATCATATAATAATCGGATTAACATTTCAAAGAATTACAACCGCGGTCAAATTGTTATCAACCGTTATCAAAATACGTTCAGATAGCGCACATCCCTCTTTTGCCTTTCGGTGCTTCCACCAACCCTGTAATCGAATTCTTATCAAACTACTGCCTACAAACGGTACAAACTACACTGCTGGCGTATGTTCATAGAAACGTCTTTCTTTTATTTTCGAGTTCGTCTATTATTTTACTCGACGCCCCGTGCGTGCGCAGTAGTTTGCTAACAGTTTTTTTTTTATTACACATTAAACAAAAAGTCGTTGCGTCGAAAGTTATGGTTTATGCACGACTTTTGTACATGTATTCGATTTCGGTTCGATGTTATTGCCGATTGCGATTTAAGAATTTTCAATCGCGCATGTGATACACATATTTCACACGTTTGTGCACAACAACCATGGAATACCCTGTTCATAAAGGTAATCGTTTTAAATTTTTTTTTTCCTCTCATCCAATTTGTTGTATCAATTAGTAATATCCAAAGATTAAGTTGCAGATCAAGTTCAATTTAGGTTAACCATTTTTCTAATTATTTTATGTTTGAAAATAGTATTTTCCATTTAAAAATCTGAAATTATGAACTGCTTAAACATTTTTTGATATTTTAGTTTCCTTATAATTGTTTGTATTTAATAATTTAGCATAATTGTATATTTAATTGAATATATGATATATATTCGTATTAACAGTAACTTGTTGATTACTAAATAGTTGTTATGAAATTGAATATTGAAGTACAAAAAAGTTAAGTTAATAATATAATATAACAATATACAACATCAAAGTAATTTAATGTACATTAGGTACTTTATTGTTATTATTCTTCAAGAAAATGATATTAGCAATTAAAATAGTGAAAATATGAAATATTTATTATAATATATATGAATCATTTATTGTACTTACAAATATGTATTTTTACTAATGTGAACTAAATAGCGTAAAAACTATATTACTTTTGGATATATTTTTGGATTATTATCGTATTTAATATCTGATCCTAGATGTGAATTTTGTATGGACGAATGGAAACAATGTGTACATTCCTCATTCTCAAACTGAATCTTCTACTGCTATAGATCCTGTATTCTTTAAGAATTCCATACCACAAGTTGAAACTATTCAACCTAGAATGGTTAGTATACATCATTTTAAAGATAGATCACTTCTAACTATTAAAATTAAAATTTTTTTTTTACTAAAAACATATAATTATTAATTATTATATTTGTTTATAGTTAACATTTAATTAATATAATATAATTATTTATCAGATATCAAGAAATAACAGAAACTGATTTGGTCCTAAGTTAATTGTTATTAATGGCCTACAATTCATTTTATTTTATTCAATATTCTCATATTAATAGAATAGTTGGTTAAAATCAATGTTTGCAGTCAAGTTATATATCAGTTGATAATATTTCGATTTTTGTCTTTATAATTTCACTCATGATAGGTTTTAAATAGCTAATATGAAAAACATAGAAGATGATATATTTAAAAAAAGTTGAAACTCAAACTGATATTTGAATTATTTTTAAAATTATTCTTTATCGACTATTATATAGTTATTAATTTGATTGAATTATATTAAATTTACTTTTTAGGAAATTAACAATTATATGGTATATGATCAAACAAGAGAAGTGGATAATCCAAACAAAATGTGGAAATTTAAAAATGATTCTGATAATGCTCAGAAAAATGAAATTTGTGCACAAGAAAGAAAAATACATACTTCTAATTCTCGAAAAATTAAACCTATTCAAAATCCAGCATTAAAATTAAAAACTCCAATTGCATATCAAAGAGATTCTGATCCCAACATGTTACCTATTGAAAAAGAAGGACGAGGTAAAATTAGATCAACTAATATTTTATATTAAATTATCTACATTTTTTTATTAATAGATTTTTATATAGTCATTGAAATTTGTTGTAAATAATAAATATAATATTCATAATATATATTTAGTTGTTAAATTATACTAATCAATAGATATTTCTATGGCATTAATTGTTATTGATATAATTTATATTAATTATAATTGCATATATTTTTAATTTAATATTTATTATTAAGTGTTGTACAGGATGTTCCTGAAATGGTTGAGAAACTATTAAATGTGTACTCTCTGGAATGGCCAAATAAAGAATGTTTTAAAATTTTTTTCTGTTTTTAAAACCTGGGTTTTGTGAAATTATCTTCATATCACTATTTTGAATCTAAAAATTAATGCTTATAAGATATTTCTTGCAAATTTTTCTCGTGAATCGATATGTGACATAGATTTTTGGCTTGTTGCTCGTTTTTCACATTTGAGTCATCAGGATCAAAAGATGTGGTGTAACATATCGATTTGCATGATAATTTTACTGGATAAACTAAGGTGAAATGTATTTGTTGTTATTTCCCATGTATGATTAATTAACAAAGTTTTCATTGAATTTCAAATAAATTTTGTGTAATTATGACTATTTTCCAATAAGAACCATATTAATAAAGAAATTGTAACATATTGCAATTTTGTAAAATTTAGCTGACTTTAAATTTGGTTGGGTGATTACACTATAGTCTAGTTAGAGATCTAGATACCATAATTGTAATTTACTGTGTTAGAATTTAGCTTTGTAATTTGTTAGAATCTAGTAAATAGATAGAGACATATTTGTGTATCACATAATTTTAAGACAAATTAAATAATATAACTAACATATTTTGTCTATACACAAATTGTAATAATGACATATTTGTACAAAAAGTATTGTTAGTAAAACATTCGGTACCTATATCCAATCATATATATATATATAAATGAAATTTAGCTACATGTTTTTTTTTGTACATTTTATAATCTTATTAACTAAATATATTAAAACAAACATAATTATATCTTACAGCTGTATGTAAAAATTGTGGTGCAATTGGTGTTAAACATTCATTTTATACAAAATTAAGAAACTATTGCAGTCAAGCTTGTGTTAAGGCAGCAATGGAAAAATCTGAAGTTTTTTCTTTTGAATCTCAGAAGGATAATACAAACAATGAGGAAGACTCATTTTCTAATTTTGTAAATCCTGAACAGTTGCTTGCTACAACGGTATGTTTGACATGTATACATTTTTATGTTAGTAATAATAATAAAAACTTTAGTTTGATACTTATATTTAAATTTATTACTTAAGTATCCATTAATATTTGAATTTCACAAAACTGAAACATGTTTCATATAAGTTATTGAACATACTAATACAATTCAATACATTTTATTTTTAAGTTAAACCATGTATTCTTAAACTTATTAAAATTACATATTTCTGGAACATCAATATATATGTAATTATATTATGTTGTCTTTGTTTTTTTTAGCCTTCAACTGATAGTAGTAATTATAGTGTTCCTGTCAAAAGTAGTTCAACTGTAGCTTATCAAAATAATGAAAGTGAGTCTGAATCTGAAGATTCGCTTTCTTTCACCTCATATCCCATTGAAGAAGATTTATTATTTCCTCCTGATAAAATACCTTGCAGACCGATACCACAAACATATGATTGGGTAAACGATTTAATACACCAAAATTATGAAGTTGCTCCTGTTCAATGTTTTCGTTATGTATGTATTGGTTAAATAAGTAAAATTTTTGAAAAGTTATGAGATAAATTAAAATTAATGAATAGGCACCCATGGCAGATTGTTGGGATGATATGGCCACTGGGATTAAAGTTGAAGTTGTAAATTCTGATTGTGATAATTTTAGTGAAGAATTTCCTGATTATTATTGGGTTGCTTCTATAGTAAAAATTGCAGGTTTGCTTTATTTTAAAACTATATAAAGTGCTTTTAAGAACTTTATAAATTCAACATTTTACTTTAGGTTATAAAGCTAAGTTACGATATGAAGGGTATGAATTAGACCAAAGAAGTGATTTTTGGGTAAATTTATGTTCTAATGTCGTACACCCTGTTGGATGGTGTGCAACAAGGGGTAAACCTTTAATACCACCTAAATGTAAGTGCTTAATTAAATAATTTAAATTTAATACTATGTTCTAATGTATTACATTTTTTAGCTATTCAATCAAAACATCGTGATTGGAAAGAATTTTTAGTAAAGTGTTTAACTGGAGCTAGAACATTGCCTACAAATTTTCGTTTAAAAATATTTGAATCTTTGAAGTCTAAATTTCGGTAAAATTATTGCAATTTCTTTTGCAAGTTTTATTTTACTTAAAGACTTTTCTTATTTTATATTGTTTTAGAGTTGATTTAACTTTGGAATTAGTTGATAAAGAGCACATATCAAAAGTTAAGGTAGCCAAAATTCTTAATATAATTGGTAAAAGGTTAGAATTGAGGTACTATGATAATGAAGAACAAGGTAAGAACTTTTTTTTTTAGTATAAATTAGTCATTAATAAATATGTATTTATAAAAGTCAATGTTATAAATTTAAAACTAACGAATAATGATATTTAATTTTGGTATTTATAGTATTTTGGGTACATGAAGATTCACCATTAATTCATCCAGTTGGTTGGGCTGGTAGAGTTGGTCACTGTTTATGTGCTCCAGATGAATATCGTGATAGAACATCTAAAGGATTACGTGATAAAGATGATGCAACAGAAGATCTTTTTCCAATGTCAATACCATATAAAACAGGATTTCAAGTTGGAATGAAATTAGAAGCAATTGATCCTCTAAATCTTGCTTCAATATGTGTTGCAACAGTTATGAAAGTAATCATGATCATAATTTGAGTATATTAATTGTATATAATAAAAAATCACTATTGTCAAAAAAAATATTGCCAAATATAAAATATTACAATATGTAAATTAATGTGTTAAAAATGTTTATCATTTTGGGAAAGACAATCATTTAAGCAATTTGATTATAATTTATGTATTCTTAAAATGTATAATGATTTTCGTAGGAAAATATGTGGATACTTTTTCCATTTTAATAGAACCATCATATTATTCTATAAATAATATATTTTTATCAGCTATAAAATGTTACATTGGTATTCTATAACTTATTCAATAAGTCTTATTGGAACTGAGAAGATATCAGTGTTTTTGTAGTACTGTTGTATTATTATTCTTTAATTTTAGATGAAAAAATGTATAATATATATTTGATAGTCTCGGTATTAGGAAACCCTTTCCCTCCTGACCCTACCTAACATCTAAAAAACATTCATATATAATTAGATCTCTACTCTTTTTGGAGTTGGGTCAATTGAATCAATCTTAATCTTAATATTGATAAATGCCACGTCATGTCCTTTTTAAGAATTACCTCTCCTCTTTTATACTTCTATTATCTTAATGATTATCTTCTTGATTGTGTATCTATATTCAAATATTTAAGGATCTTTTTAACGTCCACCCTTCTGTGTCATGATGTAAATGTGATTGATATGATAAATGAAATTGTATTGTAAATTGATAAATGCCACCACTGTAAATTTTTTTCTTTGTATTTTAAATGAAAATATTTTCAATAAAAATATTATTTAAATAAAAAGATATATATTTTTTTTAATATAGTGATAAAGGTACTGTGTTCTTCCAACTTAGATATTCCTAAGGGGCCCTGATAGTATACTGCTTGATATGCTACTGCTTATGACTTCATTAAATAATGACAATTTTCAATAGTTAAAGATTAGTCTTATAAAATTTTTATTGTTGGTGGATTATACTTAAAATTATATGTATTGAATTGTTTGTTAATAATATAATAATTTATAGTGTACATTTTTACAATATGTACAGTTCACTAAATCAAAATTTTAATGCACAGTATTTTTTGCCAAAAAAAAGTAATTTGTTTATTTTCATACATAATATTTTAATAGAAAAAACTAATTATTTAATTTTTTAGGTGCTGAATGATGGCTATTTAATGATCTCCATTGATTTTTATAACAGTACTCCTAAAGATTGGTTCTGTTATCATTGTACGTCAGCTAGTATCATGCCAGCTGGATTTTGTGAAACACATGGTATTAATTTAAAACCTCCTCAAAATGTCACTATTCCTTTTGTATGGAAAGACTATCTGGAAAATTCTAATAGTATTGCAGCCCCAAAATATTTGTTTGATATGGTATGATCTGTTAATTTTTTTTTAGTAATACTTGTTTAATTTAATTTATAAATATTTGATTATTTTCATGATGATTATATTATGTACAATTTTGTTTGTTAAATGATAATTATAAAGGAATAATATGTATAATGCATTATTTTATACATAATAATTATAAATGTTTTCATTTTTTTTTTTAGGAAGTACCTGAACATGGGTTTAAATCTAGCATGAAACTTGAATGTACAGATTTAATGAATCCTCATTTAATATGTGTGGCAACTGTATTAAGAACAGCAGGAAGATTAATAGAAGTGCATTTTGATGGATGGGGAAACGACTTTAATCAATGGTTAGACTGTTGTTCATCTGATATATTTCCAGTTGGCTGGTGTGAAGTGGTTGGTTATAAATTAGAAGGACCTATCACTGAAGTTATTCAAGGTAATATTTGTTTAATTTATTGAAATTAATATAATAAAATTAACTTTTGATTGTAGAACCTCGTCAAGCTAAAAATAAAAATAAAAAGTCCAAGAAAAAACGTTTTCCAATTAAAAAAGCAGCTGTATTATCATTACCAGTACAAACAAAGGCTCCTACGTCTTGCTATACTTCTTTAGATGTAATTACTATATTTTATAAATAATAGATTAACATACTTTTAATAAAAAATTGTATTTAGGTTTGTCAGAAGTGGGCTGCTAATAATAAAATGACTTCAAATTGTGAACGAAGTCCAGTTTCAGCTACTGAACCTCTAGGTCCAGATCAATCACTACCAGTTGCATGTGTAAATATTTTATCAGTTTTAGTTATACCTTTAGCAGATTTTTATTATATTTTTTTTAATTGACAATGCTAATTTTTTTTTTCTAACTAGTATTATATTTGATGGGTATGTTGATTAAAATTAATTAAGTTTTATTTATAAACTATTGAAATAGTTTTTGAAAATATGTTTGTAATTTAATTTTTTTAGAGCACGAGTGAATTAAATCAATATTTTAGTAAAGTTCTTATCGCTAGTTTTGCATAAATGATAATAACACAAGGTATTCTTCTTATAAGATTAGACTCAAGATTGGCCAGCTGCCAAGGATTATACTATATTTTGCTGATTTACTTAATTATCTAGTTATTTTTATCATAATGTAGAAGAAATAAATAATAGCAATTATAACAAATAAATATTTAAATTTTTCTTAGGATGCTACAAGTATTAAAGAAGAACATGTTTTGGAAAGATCATTTTTGGAAAAAGATACAAATTTTTGGAACGAAAAAGATGTATCAGAGTTTTTGCTATTTAATCAATGTGCTACATATCGTGATGTTTTTTTAAGTCAAGTAATAAGTTTTTAAATTTAAGCAAATTTTGATATTTTTCATAAATTTAATTTAATATTATTTTCAGAATATTGATGGTAAAAAACTGATGAATCTCACTAAAGAAGAAATTATACACATGACGGGAAATAAAGTTGGTCCTTCATTGAAAATATTTGATCTAATACAAAAATTAAAAAATAAAACTAAAAAAAAAAAATTTATTTGAACTGGCATTTATTGGTATTTTATATTCAACAAAAAGAATAGATAAGCCTCATAGATAAATATTATACTATTATGATATTTATATTTACTACAACCTTAGTGTTTTGGTTGAATTAAATAAAATGTTAAATAATTACATATTTATACTTAAATATTAAAGCGTGCTACATAGACTGTTTAGATTATTCAATTTATATTTTATAATATAATTTTAACAGACTAATAATGAAAATAATTTTTGCTCAAATAGTAGTTTAAAAAAATCTGTTAAAACGAAATTTTATTCTTTATTTTTTAGAAAACTTAAATTTTGTATGGATAAATAGAATATTAAATTGTTGATTTTGCAAAATAATTACTTATACACTAATAGCATGGTTTATTAAATTTATTTATTATAATAAATTTTAACTGTCCTATACATATTTTAATACCGAGCTTTAAATTTGTAGACTTTAAAATTATTTAAGATAAATACTGTATTATAAATAATAGTTATAATTTTATTTTATGTTATTCAAATTTAAATGTTGCTAGAGAAATTGCTATACTAACACTATTTAATTTGTACATTTATTATTATTTAATTTTACTTAATTTGACGAATTGTACTTTACTTTTGATTTTATTACTTATGTAAAAAATAATTTTTGTTTTTTGGTATAGTTATTATTTTAATAAATGGTAAATGGCAATCATGATGGGAAGGGAATTGTGATGTACTCTTCCCATCACCACTGTGGCCTTTTTTCTTTTATACTAAGCAATAATAATACGTATTATTAGATATTGTTATTTATATATGTTTATGTAATGACCAATTATAATCAAATAGATTATCAATAATTGATTCATCTAATGCTCTTATGATTTTGTTGGCATTATTTGCAGTATGAAGAGCTTTACAGACAAATAAAAATGAATTACTAAGACCAAAATCATGGAAGTTTCAGTCGATTTGACATTTGACGAATCTTTGGTTTTACACGTGCTAACGTGTCCACGGAAAAATACTATTTCTAACAGTGACAATTTACAATTGAGTTGATGGTCGGGTGAAATTGATATAAACAACGTTCAAGTCTGTAGCAGTGGTTATAATATAATCTGGAGTTTTCGAAAAGTGATTTGTTTTTGTCGTAATGTTACAACAATAGGTATTGTGTAAAAAAAAAAAATTAAATCTTAGTACTTTATAATCTTTTCGACGAACATATTATTTCATGATGTATTATTTTCTTGGTATATTGATGTATAGTGTAATATATCGTATCGATAATCGTATCGCGTTGTTATAATCAATGGCAACACTAATTCAACGTGCAATAGTGCACGGCCATTGTAATCGATCTTTTCCTTTCTTCCATCCCGCACCACCAACAAAAATGCGATTTCAACCCACGTGTGGTGGCGTGCAATAATGCGACCACATTTATCGTTATTATTTGTATTATAACATTCGCCGAGTAATGAGCATGGGATGAACAGCGCGTGTTGGTTGGGAGAGGAGTTGGTCGCGAAACCGCGAAAACAATGGTTGTCGATCGGTCGGCGGCACCTAACCGGCAGGAATTTCGTTTTTGTCTAGCCACGGCCGGCGAGAACGACGTGGAATTTGAAAATTTTCCCTGCGTCGGGGTGGGGACCGCGTAATGTTTGTAATGTATGCGTTTTCACGGTCGAAGGAATGATTCACGATGTTGTCTGAGCCGCCGTCGCCGCCCCCTGGCGGTCACCGTAGCGTTCCCCGGCCGCTGCTTTATCCCCACCGCCGGCCGGTGTCGATTGCGCGGCCGCAGAGACGGGAGCAGTTACCGTGTTGGAATGGGTGTTTTCCGGGTTTCCGGTTTTTAACGGTGACGGAAAACCGGACGGGAGGCATTTGCAACGCCCGTCCGTCAGGACTCGTCGGTCGGCCGGTTGCCGGGATCGGAAAAAGTCGCGAGAAACATGGTGGCCGCGTGCGCGGCGTACGAATACACATTTACGCGCACACACACACCGCTCGGGCGGCATCGGTACTACGGCGCGCACAGCTGTTTCCCGCCATAACGCAGTTCATTGTGTTGGTGTACGTACGTGCATCGGTTACGCGCGCGCGCCATTTTTTTTTTTCGTCCGTACCGCCGTCACCGCGCCGAAAACGCCGATTAACTGCGCGCGGCCCGACGGAATACTCGCATCCGTCACACGCCGTCCCGTTCGTGTCGTGCCGCCGGTGTGCGTGCGTAACGCGCTATACTTTTTTATTTACAACGCGCGTTCGCGTGTGGTCAAAACAATAATAACCATATACCGATGATGTACAACACGTATTAATCGATTGTGGATAATTGATTAGCAACACGTTTGCGGTACGATTACGGTCACCGTCGGTCGTCGGACGCAACAGCATTTCACCGGCGTCGTCGTAACGCGATTAGCAAATACTATTTTAACCGATCGTTGGCGGGCACCTCTAGAAATTCGCCGGCAGACGCGAAACCCAGAAATAAAAAAATATCTACAACACCCGTCGTACGCAGCGAGCGCGTTGGCGGCGTGTTCAGTGCCGTGTTAGTTTCCCCGGATCTATTCAAAAGGAACATGGACACGGCAATAACTATAAGATCGGGAGATCGGTTCGACGATTTGCAACAATATGACCACGAGGATTTGAACTATTGCAGGTGAGTGAATTCGACCGTAATAATTATTGTCGCCAGCGTCGTGGTAAAAATTCCGAACGCAAACATCCGTTGAACTCTCCATCCGATTTCGCGTGCATGCCGTGTGCACCGTGCGTAATGTGTTCGGTCGTGTATATCTCGTGGTGCCTGTGCGTGTTGTACACGCCCGTCAGCTGTTGTGATTGAGATCTTTATCACCATTCGCGAACGGCGAGGGAAAAAAATAACAAAACGTTCTCGATAAATCGTAATCGACAATAACCTACATTTATGGTCTGTAATCGCGATACGGGCTTGTTATGGAATTCATGCGTTCGCATGAACCTATAATTGATCATTATTTCTGAAACGATTAATTATTAACATTATGACCGCGGTAAATAATATTTCTCAGTTCGTATAATGTCGGGTAACGTTATCTCGTCGCCGCGGGACGTGATGTTTTCGCATCGCGGTCGGCGACGGGCGCACGTGAAATATGCCTAAACGGACGCGTGAACGTGATATCGTTTGAATTTTTTTTATTCTCTCGGTCTTTACTCTCTCATGGTACAGCGTTCGGTTATTTCGACTGTGGAACCAGCGCGGCAGATGGTTGCCGGTATCCAGCTGTTGGGCCAGCTGTCCTCCCCTATTGTTGTTGTCCCCACCCGCCACCGACCGAACCGGCAACCGGTTTGTGTGCGCGCGTCATCTCACAGCTGTCAAAACGACGACTGCGTGTAGCACAACCACTCGTATTTGTGTAACAACGTATTTCTGCGTTTCGATTATTTTTTTTTTCTTATCTTTTTCTGTTCGGTATTTACGTCTTATGGTATGCGGCCGCAGTGGCTGTCGGCTGCACGCAAGTAGGCCACGCGACGGATTCTCAGGAGGCCTTCGCGGAAGGCCATTTACGCTAGCCGGTCGTCTGCTGCGGTTGACGGCGCGCGCGCTCGCACGCAAACGATGCCGCCCGTTCCGTCTGGAGGTCACGGCGTCGCCGGGACGCGCGTGTTCGCCGCCGTTTACAGCTGACGGACCGAGATAATATTTTGTTCAGAACGAAACGGGCACATTGGTCGTCGGTGGGTGGGTGGGTGCAGGGGAAGGAGCTAGACGGTGATTATTTATGGCGAAGAACCGATAAACCACAAGGACACCGGCGGCGTGATAGAAAGAATGATAGAAAATAACTAACCGACTATTTGTCCGAGAAGACGAAGAGTGTGTGTGTGCAAATTGTGCCGAAACAGAAACCGAATTATTACCCCGTGGCTTACAACTGCTTGCGAATTCTGTTTACGATTCGTCGACGTATTTACGTAGTATGTGCGTAATTACCACAACGGTTAGTGGACTTACCGCGTGATAGCCATTTTTCGTTTTAAATTTATCCTCTTAGTCACACACGTGTGAGTCACCAACGACTTCGGGAATATAGGTTTTTAAGTTTGAATTCGTTTTTCGACACTATAATTTTTTTTAAATTTATTTATCGACAAGTATGACGTGACTCGTATTTATGTAATATGCTTTTATACGTAGAGGTTACCTATTTATTATTCGGTTGCACGTTTTTTTTTCTTTTTTTTGTGCTCCGTCTTGTAAATTACTTAAACTATTGTCTACACGTACACCCATACATGCCTGTACATCGGAGATTTTTACAAGATTAAAATAAATCATTGTAGTTTGGCGTCGAACAATAACTTACTTTGGTATTTTCATTTGAAAATGGTCGATAATTGTAATTCATAAATAGTTATATTTGGTTATATATTTTACGAATCGAGCCTCTTTACCGAAAATATAATAATACATTATTTATTTTATAATATTTTCATTATATGCGAATTCCATACTTATATTTTAAACTTGTATTTGATTTCGTTGAAAACTGTATAACTAAGAACTGCTAGAAAAACCAACTGTGTAGAATTTTGTTGTAAAAAATATTTATAATACAGTGTAAATGTAAATGTTGGGTGAATTTGAGCAACTGTTTTGGAAAAAAAAGGTTTGATTGTTATGCTGAAAACGCTTTATTGTAATGAGCGTGTTTAGACAATAGAAAATTGTAGAACAAGTGTTTTAAAAAAATTAACGTGCTATAACGATATTTATTTTAGACATAATGAAAACCTATTTTTAATGCTGAAGATTGAATTATTTATTTCACAATTAATTGGGTAATTTTACATTGAACTTTCAATTTTCATGTTAAATTGGTGAATATTTTAAATTTGAAGTATTATAAATTTAAAATTGTTGTCATAATTCAATATAATTCAAATAAATACTAAATTTTTACACCTATATTACATATGCATAATACTTTTCCATACTTTATTAAATCCATTAATCGTACCAAAATCGAACAATTTGTTTTTATAATTATTTCACCTGATTGTATCATTTGTATATTATGTGTATACAATTAAGATTTTCTTTGGTATATAGTTATTTTGAATATTTGTTGATTGCAAAAATTGTAAAAATAAATTATTTATTTTCTATGTTGCCTCACCCTCCCATCATTGCATGATGGTGCATTGTGACGCCGTTCATTGTCGTATGTTCGTGTTGCACGTTTTTCGAAAATAACCCTAAATATTTGATTAACAGTTATTGCAGCCACCTGCTCTGGCACTTAATCGTGTTGCGATCAAAAGAGAATAAAATACTGTAAAATGATTTCCTCCAAAAAAAAAATTGAACAATGTATAGCTGTCGGCTAAATATTATTTTACTAACGTAAAATATATGTTTTAATTTCGGTTCATTTGTGGTACTTTGTTATTACTATTTAAACGAAAGAAAAATATGTCAATGAAATGACAAATATAGTTTACTCGAATCTAGTGTTGTCTTTGGTGGGTGGTTACAAATGCTGTGTCAAGACTCCTCGTCCGTCTTACTGTTTAAGTCAGACTTTTCTCGAAATATTCATTTGCTGGTATTATATTATCCGAGTAGACATTTTTTTTTTCATTCTTTTTCTCTCTTTTTCTATTACGTTATGCACTCGACATGTTATTTCTTCTCGTAATTGTTCGTCTTTGTTGTTCGGGTTCTTATTTTACTCAATTCAAACAATGACAATCACCCTTGGAACTGGAGTGATCGTTAGGACACTTCATGAAATTTTGGAGGGGAAAACGATAATAACCCATTGGCGTCGGCCAAGACGGTATGTTTAGGCTACCTACAACGCAATTTAAATTGCTAAATAATGACGTTTTGTTCGCGCGCGCGCACCTGTCGTGTCTCATATAATTATAATTAAACTTGTGTTCGTTAATTGCGCTGTTCTTTGATGTGAATAACGGCCGTTCAAAATACGAAATAGTTGTACGTAGTAATCACTACGTGCGTTGTGCGTTGTTTGCAATCGCTCGAATATTAATTTTTTTTTTTTGCATGTACATTTACTATAATATTATAATATAACACCGAATAGTGTGGATGAATGAAAATATTGTTTTGATTTATTTATTTTTGTTCCCTCGTAGTTTAACAAACGCTTCTGAAGAAGGTGTTGATTCACCACCGGCTGGACTCACGCCCATTGTGGTGGGCCACAGGACTCCCCAGATGAGTGCTACCATGGAGCACGAGAAACGGTTACGTCGGGAGATCGCCAACTCGAACGAGAGGCGCCGAATGCAGTCGATAAACGCGGGTTTTCAAAATCTGCGGACCCTCATTCCGCACCACGAGGGCGAGAAACTGAGCAAGGTGAGAATCGCGCACTACCATCAGTCCACTTACGTATACGATAATAGAAATAATTATATTGAAACGAATAGACGTACGCTATTACAATATCATATTTAAAACCGAGGTTGAATTCGATAACCCGAGAATCTGGATGGGGCATTAAAAAACAGAGTAGTGTTAATATTTTGTTAAACTTCATTATTTGTGCTTTGTTCGTCGGTGCAATGATGCTTATCTCGAAGGGAACCGAAATTTCCGGTCATTGCGACTTAAACGTTTAATTTAAAGTTCGTTATCAGTGGTGCACGTCTTGGGATGTAACCCCCTTGTAATTATTGCATATTGCATTTTTTATGATTAAAGTAAAGGCATGGAAACATAATATGTTTATCATCCAAATAGATTATAGTACAAGAATAAATAACTTCGTAGTAAAAGACGACGAATTGCAACATTTTCATTGACAAAATTCATACAAGTATTTTTAAACGGATTACAATACGTTAATTATGGTAAACATCGTGATTTTTTTTTTTTTTTTGACGTTAAACGAATCGGATCGTAATCTGCATTAAAAACGATTAAACCCCCGTCATTCGAAATGCTTGCGCCGGCCACCGATGGTCGTATCGGCTGTTCGTCCCGTCCCGAGTTGTCGTTATCGTCGGATTTTTATTATTAATTTTTTTCTTTCCCCCCCACTCTCGTCGCGATTTGTGTACATGATGATGATCATCATCTTGATCATCCGTAGTCGCAATGCGCGAGTACACGCACACACACACATACCCACTCAAACGCACACACGCGCTCGCGTTACACACGTAATACGCGCGACGATTTCATTCATCGAACCACAGCGGTCGAGGCGCACGTACACACTCGCACGCACAGGATTACGTACGCGTTCGTAACGTTCCATGTGTTTGTGCGCGCGGCATGAGACACTCGTGGGGCCACGGTATGGGTGCCGCCCGTCGTACAGCCGTACGGCGGCCGCAGCCAGTCGTCAGCTGTTTGTCTTTCGGCTTATTGCACGGTCCCGTCCCACCTCGTCTCCCGTGCGTGTACGTGCGTGCGTGCATGTGTACAACGTGATGTTAGTGCGCGCCGTTCGTAGTTACACACCGTGCTCGTCGTCGAACGTAACCGTGTACGAAGCGTAGCAGCTGCCGCCGTTGGTCGCACGCACGCACGCACGCACACGTTCACGTTCATTTGCACACACACAGCTGACGAACGCGCGTCGGCTGTGGCAGTTATGTAGCGTAACCCCCCTCTAGCCACCCGCCCCATTGTCTCGAACCGAACGTTTCCACGCCGATCGAACATTGATGCCAACCTAAATGAGACGATAGTGAATATTTAAACTACCGGCGTCGTCAACGCGCTTACTACATCTCGGCTGCGACGGCCAGGTATTGCGCTGTAAACACTATTTTAATCGTTAACGTTGTGCTCGGCTCGCGGTTTCGGTCACGGCGAACGTCGTCGTCCTCCGCGGCGTGGTAGACCGTCGCCGGTGTCGGATACCTGCAGCGGCACCCGTCGTCGCCGGCCAGTTCAACGCACTCGTTGTCCTTCACGCCTGTAGTGCGCGTCTTGCGTCCCCCGTGCGTTTTGTACTCGCCGCCGCGGCCCCGGTCTGTTCTCGGAATCGACGGGTTTTTTTTTTTGTTTTTTTTTTACTGGTTTTATTTTTAAATATATTTTCTTTTCTTTTCCCTTTCCCTTCTCCGCCCTCTCCGTGTACCGCGTTGCATCCATTATTGTTGTTGTCTCTCCCGCACTCGTTCGCGTCAACGTGTAGAACGCATAATAATGATTACGCAGTAGGTACGCCCAAGTAATAATAATAATAATAGTCATAACAACAACGACCAAGCAGCAGTTCCGTATTAACCGACACGGTCGTCCGCGTACGAGAAAATCACGTCTATAAATAGGCAATTCATAGGAATTAGAAAAAGTGGCTACACGCGACTGTTTCCGCGGCTGTTGTTTAGCATATTATTATCGTAGTGCACTGCGTATACCGCAAACTGACCTACGCCATCTGGTGACGTGATTCTAGTTTGTGTGCGTGTGTGTACGTCTCGCGACTAACCCGTTTTATGGTTTCTATCATTTCGTTTGAAAAAAAGAAAAAAAGTATATATATATAAATGAAGGAAACTACTGCTTCTTCGAAGTCCCGCCACTCGGACCGTATTGCGTTTCGGGAGGGAGCCGGCGTGATATGTAGCTCGCACGGGAGGGATTGGTATATGCTTTGAGCAGCAGCATCAGCGGGGCCGCTACACGGGGTGGTCGCCGGTAGACGCCCCACGCGTTATCGCCTCGCGACAATATCGATCCCGACGGGCGAGCTGACGTCAGCGACCGTACGCTTGCGCCTGTTACGTGACGTCAGCCACTACCGCGCCCGATCGCGATGTTTTCCGCGGGTGTATCGACCTCGTGCGCTATCCCGCGTTGTTTTACGAAATATTTTTCCAAAATTTTAAGTCTCCCTATTTTACTCTCTCTCTCACTCTCACTCTCTCGGCCAATCCATCCGCACGGAACCCAGAGATTTCCAATGCCCTGTCTGGTTACCGTGGTAACGCGGCATATATTCGTACCTCGTGCTGTCGAATTGCCGCGTTCGCGCTCCTCAGGTTTTAATGAACGGTTAAAACCGTAGAGTACACGCCGCCAACATGCCGCGCCGTAGTATTGTATACTACTAAATTACTACTCTTACTACAAGTGGAACTACTACTGTTTGAATCACTTTGTTTTTTCTTTCTGTTTTATCGTTGCATTGCCTGACCGGGGTTAGGACTGCTCTGCTTTTCTATTGGTCCACCAGAATTTATTGCACCGATTATACTAAACAATCATTAATTACTCATTTGATTCCGGTCCATAACCTGAGTAGGAACTGTTCATGCCAGTAATTAATTCTCAGATTAGCCTTTGGCTAATCTCGTATGACTGACGGCATTGGATTGTCCTATCTCAAACACTCTTCTTCCTCCCTAGTGCTTAAGATTTGTGTTACTACTCTACCACTCTCCAGTACCCAATACTTGCTTCAAGATGGGTATAATCATTCTCGTAGTGTTGTGCTCACCCACCCACTTTTCAGCTTTCTTGTCCACCTATCGCATATAAAAACGTTATCTATTACGTCATAAGCTAGAAATTCTGGTCTTGCCCTCGGGAAAACCTCTGAAGATATGCTGAAAGCACCCTTATCCAGCTGGAAATTGCGTTAAGTGGTTTGACACTATATAGTCGGTTAATCCAGCCACATAAAATGAGTATAATTAGCTTCGCTTAACAATAAATACCTATATACTCGTAGTTTTGTAAAATCAACGAGGAGCACTCTACAGGGTCGCATATACAGCTACTTAGGTATTATAGATGTCAGCAATTAATTTTTTATATGCCTTGAACCTCTAAGAAGTGAGAAAAATTTATCGTTGTTTCTAGAGCTTTTCGTGCATTCCATTTGAATGTGCTCGTTGAACCCAAGGTTGGATTAAGCTGAATTTTCAAGTAATTAATGTGTTCTTTGGGTTTCAATGATCTTCTTAAAGCACGAAAAATAGACATCCATTTTCACAATAGTCATCTTCATGATCGCTGCAGTTTTGCTCACTGATTTCATCAATCCATTACTATTTATGTTATCACTAACTAGTTCGAATGTAATCTTCATCTTAGTACTAACTTCGACTTGTTCCAACTACTGGAACGAGGTCTGCAAACTTGAGTGTCTAAATTTAATTTAGGAGAATTTGACTGTTCTCTATTGAGCTCCGTGTGAATCTACCATCCATAAATTACATCATACATTCTCAATTTATACTGATAGTTTCAAGACTATACTGTATTAATCACTGTACTCGGGCCAGTTGCTTTTATTTTAGAAGTTTGGGTGTTAGTGAACTCTACCATGTTACCAATTGTGATTGGTTCAATGATCTCTTGACTCTAGTGGCTTTTATTACGCTGCTAAGAGCTGAGTGAGGAACGGTAAACTAGTTCTTGCTATAATTTGACCAATCTTTTCATTACTAGCTTGTAAGATAGCCCCATGGATCGTTGCCCATCAGCTGACATAAATGCTTCCCAAGAGTTTTGAGCTTTTTTATGGGTTAATCTCAATTTTTTTAGCATATTCCTGGCTATCTGTTCTAGTTTTTTTTTCATGACGAATCTTCCGCATTTCCTATGCTTTCAGGAGAATCGTCTTGCTGTAAATGAAATGTTACACACATTGGAAATTTCTTATAATTGTCATTTTTTTCCTCCTTAGTAAGATGGAAGTAAGATTTTGATGGGCATTAAGCAGTCGCAAACTATTAATATTTACCAAAGTAAAGTAATCCTATCTCAGGTCTGGCAATACAAGAATAAATAAATAAAAAACTGCTCCAGCTTCGGTCTGCTAATCTATTATTATAGCGAGTACATGAGTATGCGTTATTATAATTTTACAATGGGTATAATTTACGGTTGACCCGTTGTCATATTTTTTAAGTACGTTTTTAAACAATTATTATATTATTTGCGAGCTGTGTATACCGTGTATAATATAGTATGTACTTGCTGCATACGTTCGGTAACTGGGTACGAGCACGAGAGCAAAATACGTTCTCGGAACGCATTCTTCAGCTGACTGGTTCACAGTCGCGTCTTCGGTCTCGGTATGGTTTTACGCGTTTAAAACGTACGTGTACGTCGTATGTACGTCGTATGTGCGTGCATGCGTTCTGCCGGAGAGAAAGTTGCGCGCGGGAATTGACCGACAGGAAATGACTCAGACGCTGGCGGTAGATTTTCATTTAACGCATTGCCGCATATGGATAACCAGGCTCTCGGGTCAACCGGCAACTATATATATATATATATATATATATATACGTATAAAATAACACGCACATTCCTATGGTGACGGCGGCGGCTATTCACATCGTATTTTACGTATACGCTTGCGGTATGTACAATGTGCGCGTGTACAG